GCTTGGAGAATAGGGAATGACTTGATGGAGGAGGACAGTGGTATTTGATGGGGACCCTAGAAACTCCCATTCCAGGTGGAAGAAACAATCAAGCAGAGGCAAGGGGCAAGGAAAGTGTTGGATGTATTTGTAGAACAGAAAGCCTATTGGGTTCGCTGAGCACATGCAATGAGCGAGGCAGCAACAGTGGTTTGGGACTACATTTGGAAGGCCCTTTTAAGCTCTGTAAAGCATATATTTTACTTAGTAGGCAATAAGGAGCTGTTTTTTTTTGAGCTTGGATGTGATTTGGTCTGAACTGTGCTGTAGAATAATTCACCTACAACAGAAAGTAGAAAGTATTGGAGATGGAAAGGTGGCAGGGGAAGGAGGACAGCTAACAAGCTAATGCGATAATCCTGGTGAAAGCTAACTAGGTCAATACGAATGCAAAGCACAGGTTGGATTTATGCAAGCTAGGATGGAGGAGAGGACTCAAAGGTAACTCCATGTATAAGCAAGTTTGAGGCAGAACCCACTAGTTTTACTAGCATAAAAAACCAATTCAAGAAGGCAAGGGTGTTTGGGCAAGGGATAAGGAGATCATGAAGATGTCACTTTCCACGCATCGAGCTGGAAGTCCAGGAAGCATATCTTGGTTGAGGTGTTCAACATTTACAAACTCCTGATAGGACCCTAGTGCTGTGGATAAGGCTGGAGATGAGTTTCTCAAAGTCAACATTATCCAAGTGACAGCTGAAATCACAGAAGTGGGTAGATCTCCAGGGAATTAGGGAGTGAGGTGAGAGAAAGACAGATGGCAGAATCTTGGGAAATGTCTGAATTCTTCCTTATGATAGACTGGGCGTAGTCAGTGTTATAGAATATAATCAGGAGAGTGCTGCATCACTGTGTCTAAAGGGAGAGGGGATATTGAAAGGGAGGAGCTGGCTAACCACAGTTTAAAAATTGCATTACTGTTTTGGGGATTAGCTGCTTAGAGGTGGTGCCTACATAGTCTAGAAGGGAATGGCTCTAAGAAAATAGCTGGCCGGGCTCGGTGGCTCACTCCTGTAATCCCAGCATTTTGGGAAGTCAAGGCAGGTGGATCACTTGAGCCCAGGAGTTCGAGACCAGCCTGGGCAACATGGGGCAACCCCATCTCTACAAAAAATGCAAAATTAGCCAGGCATGGTGGCACACACCTGTAGTCCCAGCTACTTGGGAGGTTGAGGTCGGAGAATTACTTGAGCCTGGGAGGTGGAAGTTGCAGTGAGCCAAGATCACGCTACTGCACTCCAGCCTGGGCGACAGAGCAAGACCCTGCCTTAAAAGGAAAGAAAATACTTAACAGCATTAGTGAAGAGGGAACCTTGTCTGTGTGTGTGTGTGTGTGTGTGTGCGCGCGCACGCACTAACAAGTGAATGAAGAAGAAAACCGGACCCACACCCGGTCCTGTTTTATGACAGCCAAGATTCCAAACCCTCATCTCCCCTTATATTGACTATTGGTAGTGTATATTTCTCTTTATTACTGGCAATGTGTATTCAGAACCAAAGGCCTCGTTCTGTCTTTTAGAAACCTCAGATTTGTGCCAGCATTTGTTTTTTAGACAGAGGAAACCTATTACTTCTTCTCCTCAGTAGTTACCCAATTTTGAGTTCCCACTTATCCGGGGACTTAGGTTTGATTCTTGATGTTATGAATTCCAATGATAGTAAATATGTAGGTCACCTCTGGGAGCTTAGTGTTCAAAGCTATAGAACGTGGAGGAAAAAGGAGGGGAGAAGGCAGGCAGGGAGTGAGACTTTAGCTTTCTTGTTCACACATAAAGGGTTGTTTGTAAACTACAGTGTTAACTAAGACTTCATCAGCCAAGGATTTATATTCACATTAAAACCTGAGTTGGCTCCGGGGAGATATCACTGGTGTAAGTTCAAGCAGGATTAACTGCCTCCCAGCAATGCAAATTGGTTTACAACTTTTTTGTTTTTTCTTTCTTATTTTTTGGGATATTTTCTTCAATATTTTTCTTAAATGATAATTTGCAAAAACCATGAAATATTATTTGTGGTTCCACAAATGTCAGAACACCAAAGAAAACTCCTCTTCAGGAATCCAGATCCATTAATGAAATTAAAAATTAGGAGAGTTGAGTTTTAATCTCAATCTCCTAAGTAGCCATGTTTAGGTAGGTTGCTTAATAAAATTCTATGCTTAATTTTTTTTTTTTAATTTTCTAAATGGTGATTTTAAAATACTGGTTCCACTTATCTCACATAATTATTGTTCAGGTTGTGAAAGGATTTTCTTTCTTTCTTTTCTTTTTCTTTTTTTTTGAGACAGGGTCTCATGCTGTTGCCCCGGCTGGAGTGTAGTGGTGCCATTATGGTTCACTGGAGTCTCAAACTCCTGGCCTCAAGTGATTCTCCTGCCTCAGCCTCCTGAGTAGCTGGGACTACAGGTGTTTTCCACCAGGCCCAGCTAATTTTTTTTCTATTTTTTTGTAGAGATGAGGGTCTCACTATGTTGTCCAGGCTGGTCACAAACTCTTGGGGCTCAAGTGGTCCTCCTGCCTCAGCCTCCAAAAGCACTAGGATTATAGGTGTCAGCCACTGTGCCTGGCCTGTGAAAGTATTCTATTTTTAAGTTATGAACATTAGATAAATTTCAGACATACTACTACTTAGGCAATTAGATAATAACCTGCTGCTAGTCTAGGGTCAGGATAGAGAGGTGAAGCAGGGACCAGTATCTGGAGGGTTTGGATTTAAAAAGTAAGATTATTCATGATGGATTAAAGACTTAAATGTAAAACCCCAAACCATAAAAACCCTAGAAGAAAATCTAGGCAATACCATTCAGGACATAGGCATAGGCAAAGACTTCATGACTAAAACACCAAAATCAATTGCAACAGAAGCCAAAATTGACAAATGGGATCTAATTAAACCAAAGAGCTTCTGCATAGCAAAAGAAACTATCATCAGAGTGAACAGGCAACCGACAGAATGGGAGAAAGGTTTTGCAATCTACCCATCTGACAAAGGGCCAATATCCAGAATCTACAAGGAACTTACATTTACAAGAGAAAAAAAAAAAACATCAAAAAGTGGGCAAAGGATATGAACAGACACTTCTCAAAAGAAGACATTTATGCAGCCAATAAACATGAAAAAAAGCTCATCATCATTGGTCATTAGAGAAATGCAAATCAAAACCACAATGAGATACCATCTCACGCCAGTGAGAAAGGTGATTATTAAAAAGTCAGGAAACAATAGATTCTGCCAAGGCTATGGAGAAATAGGAACGCTTTTACACTGTTGGTGGGAGTGTAAATTAGTTCAACCATTGTGGAAGACAGTGTGGCAATTCCTCAAGGATCTAGAACCAGAGATACCATTTGACTCAGCAATCCCATTACTGGATATATACCCAAAGGATTATAAATCATTCTACTATAAAGACACATGCAAACATCTGTTTGTTGCAGCGCTATTTACAATAGCAAAGACTTGGAACCAACCCAAATGCCCACTGATGATAGACTGGATAAAGAAAATGTGGCACATATACACCATGGAATACTATGCAGCCATAAAAAGGAATGAGTTCATGTCCTTTGCAGGGACGTGGATGAAGCTGGAAGCCATCATTCTCAGCAAAGTAACACGACAGAAAACCAAACTCTGCCTGTTCTCACTCATAAGTGGGAGTTGAACAATGAGAACACATGGACACAGGAAGAGTAATATCACATACTGGGTCCTGTCGGGGGATGGGGGAAAGTGGAGGAAGAGCATCAGGACAAATACCTAACGAATGCAGGGCTTAAAACCATAGGTTGATGGGTGCAGCAAACCACCATGGCACATGTATACCTATGTAACAAATCTGCATGTTCTGCACATGTATCCCAGAACTTACAGTTAAAAAAGCAGGATTACTGCGGGTTGGCAGAGGCCTTTTCTTGAGCTCAGGAATGGATGATGCCACGGAAAGAGCAAATGTGGAAATAAATTCTGGAAATGTTTCGCATACCACTTGTAATGCTGTTTTTAAGATAATTGCTTGGGTAAATAAATTCCTTACACATTGACTAGTAAAGAGATACTCAACTTTGTACATTTGATGCCATTTTCACTTGCTCTCTAACTTATGTTACCATGGCATTAATTTAGTATAAATACAAATGCTCTAGGTCTGCTCAGTGCTGAGCTCGGCAATCTCCTGACTTCAACATCTCTTATCCACTAAAGCACACACTATTGTTTACACATGGAAGACTGACTATGCAGCCAGTCTAGTAAGCAAGGAAGCAGGGTCCTAGATATTAAAAATGACCATTCCAGTAAACCATCAAGCCACAGATCAACAAGCTTAATCACAAAAGGTTCTTGAGGGAACAAAGTTGAAGTAATATCCATCAAGTCATTGTGAAACTATCTGTACTTGTGGTTGATTTGCCAGGTAAGCTGGTTTTTCCTCAGTTTCCTCACCTGTTAAACAAGAGGCAGAATGAGGTTATCTCTAAAACATTTCTTGCTTTGAAATACTATTACTCTAAATAAGAGTTCGAAGAAACTCACAAAATACATCCTTGTTAACTCTCAGTAAGCCCAAACAATATGCCAGGACATCACAAAACCAGAAAATTAACAGGACTCCTTGTAGATCAGTCTCTTTGTGCAAAGTAGGGAGGGGGGGGGACTAAAGAACCTCCCAAAAAGTATTAAAAATAGCATTACGAAAAATCTCGTTCCACATTAGGTAGCCACATACAAGAAACACTGTTGGAGATCTACTATGTGCAAGGCACGGTTTAAGTTATTATTGTTCAAGTTTGAAATTATTGTTAACTTGTCAGTAATTTCTTAAACCTAAACTGGTGAATCTCGCCTTGGGTGGACATAAAAGTAAAGCCACGGCCAAGGACAGGGACAGTCTACAAATAAACCAAAAATAAAATACAAGTGACATCATTAAAGGAAAAAAGCCAACACACTGCACAAAGATCAAAGACAAAACGGAGAAACATGTTTGGTTAATACTGGGCTTTTGAGCATTTCATGTGCCTGCGAGGCCCGTCCATCCATCCACACCACACTTCTTCACCATGCTGTTGTAAACCAATGACAAGTCCAGCTTCAGCGCGGACAGGGCGCAGGGTGCAGACCCTGTGCATATCCCAGAATCCCGGACCCACTGCCACTCCACTCTGGGAAGGAAGGCGGCGGTCCCCCTTGGGTGACTGTAAGATAAAGCAGCTTCTTCCATCTCTTCGTCCAGTAAGAAAGAAACGTTGGCCCATAAAGAAAGAAAGAAACAAATAAATAGGAAAGGTGTGAGAAGGAAGGGAACCTCCTTTCTTTTCTGTTTAAATTTCCCGCACCCCTTTACCTCCCCGCCTTCTCAAACGGTCTTTACTTTGCAGAGACCCGGACCGCTCAATACCCTGCTCGCCCCGGGAGGGTATTTGGAAAGTAGGCGGGACAGGCCGGATGAATAATTCGGTGTCCGACTTTTCCTGCCTTTGGCGCAGTCCCTCCCCCGCTTCGTTACTGGAGTGCACACGCGGCCGGGCTCTCGGCGCTCGATTGCTTCAGCCTATCACCCTGGGATGCCGCCTGCCGCCGCCACTGCCACCGCCACCGCCGCGGCTGCCGGGCTTGTGGGATCCGCCGCGGAGCCGGAGCCAGAGCTGCGGCCGGAGCTGTGGCCTGAGAGTTAGGGGGCGGGCCGGCTCATTCCAGAAGTGGGGGCCGAGGACAGGCGGGCTAGAACCCGGAGCCATCGCCCCCCATCCCTCCTCAGGCTGAGGGAACTGGCACTCGGAGCTTCTGAGGCGGCGGCGGCGGCGGGAGCCGGTCAGAGGGGGCGGCCCCTGGCGGCGACGCCCCCAAGCCCAGCCCTGCCCGGCACCGCTCCATCCCCAGCCAGAGCTTGGTCTGACCGCGAGAGACGCCAGCGGGGCTGAAGAAGGCGGCTCCGAGGAGGTGGGAGGGCGAGCCTCCCCTCCCGAGTTCTTCTGCGTCCTCTCCCGGGAGAGACCCACACACACCTGAGCCCGGACCCACCCTTGGTCGAGGCCACGCTGGATCCTCCTCCCGGCCTGGGTCCCGCCCGCCGGCTGCAGGTGGGCTGCAGCGCCCGAGCCTTGGGCAGTGGGCGACTGGGAAGGAGGTGAGAGGTGTCCGCTTCGGCTGCCGCTCGGGTCCCTGCCCTCGCGGCGCGCTCTCCTCCTCCTCCCCTTCCCGCAGGCAGGACGCGGAGCCGCGCGCCCGCCCGCCCCGAAGCCGCCGCCTCGTCCCCCCCACCCCCCCCGCCCCGGGGCACCATGGAGCTCTCTCCGTCGTCCGGAGGAGCCGCGGAGGCGCTGTCCTGGCCGGAGATGTTCCCGGCGTTGGAGTCCGACTCGCCGCTGCCCCCGGAGGAACTGGACGCGGTTGTCCCAGTCAGTGGAGCCGTGGCCGGTGGCATGTTGGATCGGATCCTTCTGGAGTCCGTGTGCCAGCAACAGAGCTGGGTCCGGGTGTACGGTAAGGATCACAGGCCGTCTTACAGGCTGGTGTTTCCTATTTTTGCTTGGGCTGAAATTCATTCCCTAAGTCTCAGGCTCATTCCCAGTCATCATCCGTGCTAGGTCAGTTTCCCATATCCCTTTTGTTCTGGGGGTGCATTTCTGACAAGTTTCTTCAGACTGTCACTTGGGCAGGGATGTGACTCAGTATGGTCTTTGGACCTCTTCAGACACCTGCAGTAAGTTTAATGCGGGAGTTGGGCTATCCAAGACGTAATGCTTAGGCGATTACTCCAGCGGAACTGCCAGGCAATCAGTCTTCAAGAAGGTATGATGGAAAACTCCTTGAAACCAAGTGAATGGGTTTTCGTCTCTTTTTCTTGTTGAATGAGGCAAGACTGGAAGCCAAGATATTACGAAAAAGCAGAGAATAAGCTAATGAATGAAAAAAAATCCAAACTATGTATTTGATGGGAGCCGACTAATCTGTAACCTCTGCCTGAACCTCACTCTCTAAAAGCAACCACTTATTCCAACGGGTGTGGATTGTTTCAGATTACACTATTGTTTCTGAATCTCGTTGTAAAGTGACTGGGTTGCCACTCAGCAGGTTAAAAGTGATGAACACACTAAAACTTTCCCTTTCTGCATTCCTGGTAACCACCTCTTTAATTAAAACTGAATGATGAGATTCTATTAGTGTGAGCCTTGTGGCAGCACTAAAACCATGCTGGTTTTGAAAACTCATAGCTTAAGGATTTATAGCCTGGCATTCAGGACTGAGCTGTGGCTTTCCAAAATATTGAAACGGCAAGATGTTTATCGCCTAGCTCACGTGACTACAAAAGACATTAGTAATGTGGCTGAGTATAAGGTGGCAAATTTGAAGCACCTGGGATCAAACACAATGTTAAGATGTTATCGTGCAGTCGTGTGCATCTAAGCCTTTAGTGATCAAGTACCTTATGTTTTTTTCTTTCATCTTTCTGAACAGAGTATATGCTTACTGTTCAAGAGTGACCAAGACTTAGGTTTCTTTCTGTATAGTTCAGTTGATTTCAAGACTTCATGTCCATCACTGTTAGAAAGATCATAGAACTAGGAGTCCAGAGATCTAAGTTCTTGCCTCAGTTCTACCACTAAATGGCTGTGTGATTTGCGGCAGATCGAGTCACATTTTTGGCTTGTGATTCCTCATCTGTAAAGTGAGCGGATTGGATTAAATCATCACTAGTGGCCCTTTTAATCATAAAAATCGAGCAATTCTTCTTATAACTAGGTCTTAAGGATTTATTTGTGTACCACTCTGTATTTTGCTGGTTGTTTCTTGATGTTACTCTACTTACCGAAAGACTTAAAGCAAAGGAGTGGAAGACGATGCAAGGTCGCCCAGTTTGTTCTCAGCAAATTATATTACAAACTTTGGTGCCCGATTTTCGGTCTGCCTGCTAATCCCACTTAGCTGGTCATTTATAACAAAGGTTGATGAGAATCTGAAAGTGCATATGAATTAGAGTATATTGTAGTTACAACGTTTTCTCATTCTATCATCTTCCTCTCCTTACGCACTTGTTTGGCATACTGTTTTTTTGTGTGGTGTTAGAAATAGGGCCATGCTACTCTAAGAATACGTTTATATGATAATTCAGTATTTCAGTATCCAAAACTATCTGGGTTCTCTGGACCTGGTGTTAACTATCGTTCTTCGTTTGTAAGGACATAAACGTCTATAAAGGTATGTTGTTTTGTAGTTCATTCCTAGGGGTTGATTTGTGAAATATATATTGTATATTGTGTGTGTGTGTGTGTGTGTGAGAGAGAGACAGAGAGCAAGTTTACATTATGTTTTTTTCTTTCGTCCTTGTGAACAGGATATATGTTTGTTATTCAAGAGTGACCACGACTTAGAAGTTTTCTTTCTGCGTAGTTCAGTTGATTTTAAGACATCATATCAGACATCACACACACACATACATACCATGCCTTGCATTTCTGTGACCTAATGCAGACTTTCCACTGCATTGTAACTTTTTTTGTTTTCTCAATTAAACAGAAGTTGTTTTTATTTATTGTTTAGTGTTGCTACTTTCCTTCCTTTGAGGCAGCGCATCCTGGATACTATTTTGTTGTCTTTAGTTTGATGTAAATATTTCAGAACTATTGGATGACTCTTGGCTATGTCCTTAGCTAGTTTTAAGTTGCTTATTGTATGAACAGCGTGTATGTTTGAAAACTTTGAAGTAAAAACTTTGAAATAAAAATAATAGAATGTAGAAAAACAATTTGGAGAATACACTAGTTTTGTTTTTCTTGTTTCTTGTCTGTGTGTTCAAAACCTTCATTGTCTTGGATCATCTAGGTTCTCACAATTTAAAGAGACTTTGATGAGTGTAGTCTAACATGTTTTAGGGAAATCTACAAATTGGGAACCTAGTCTAGAGGATACAACTAGAAACTTAAAGTATATAATTGGGCATGGAGAACCTGGTTTCATTCTGGCTTTGCCACAGATTGGTTGTCTAACTCTGGGCAAGTAGTTTTAACTCATAATCTCTAGGTTTCCGCTTAAAAGTGGAATCTGGAGTAATTGGTGTCTGTGGTTCCTTTTGGTTTTAAAGTTGTCTGATTCTGTGGCTTGGCCCTTTATTTTACCTACAGGTTGGCCTATAATCTTTATCTTGGCTCTTGGGGCCAGGCATTAACCAAGCCCTTAACTTATGTATTTAAATCATGATTGTCAGAAGATTCTGGGGAGCAGTTTTATCAAAAGGTCAGTGAACTGAGTTTTCAAAGAAGATATATTGAAGGCAGATGTTTATTTATTTGGAATGTTTTCACAAGATAGGAAGTAAGTATGGGGATGTTGCTTAGGTCTAGCTCATACAGTTTTGAGACCTAACCTACATAGCCATGTGGGTTCTAAAGATAGGGTAATAATTAGGAGCTTTATTAAGTGCAGTTTACATCTCCTGCAGTATACTTGTGTTTCAAATCATGATGGGAACAAACAACAACAGAAGTAACCCCCCAAAGAACATCTTAACAGGAACCTTTAGAAACAATATTTTATTAGTTTGCCTCACAAAATTTGAAGACTAGGGACTATTTTGAGTTTGTTGTTGATAGGGTTGGCTCCTTGGTTGATAATACATATATATTGTGTACATATGTATATATTGTCATAATACATATACTCAGGGTTTTGTGTATTGCCATGATTTGGAAAACTTTTCTGGAATATGTTCAGAGCTTTAAAATAGGTGGATCTATATTTAGAACACAAACTAATGCACATTTTTGAGACGTGGCTGAGAGAAAAATATTTATGCTGTCTGTCCTAATCTTCATTTTCTTTTAGTTGTAAAATGTTTCATTTGTTGTATTCCAGTATTATAAATTGTGCCCATGCCTTGTCAAGACTATACAATTTTTGACATCAGGGAGCCTTGTTTATCTTTGTATTCCTATCTTGCCACCCCCTTCATTGTCAACTTGTCTGCCAGATTGGTACCTTGCTCATAGTAAGTCAATGTCTGTTGAATGTTGATCCATTTGTCCTTTGACCATCCAGATCTCAACCTGACAGATTGTATGGGTGGTAGAGTAGCTTAAACAAAGGCATGCCACAAACAGCTAAATATGGATACAGAATCCAAGAGCATCAAATGCAGAACATTTTTCAGATATTTATAGCCTCAAAGCAAAGTCAATTGGCTGAAAAAGCTCAGCAGCATAGCGAAAGGAAACGGGAGTGGCGAAGCCAGCCTCACTGTCTGTGCTTTCTGGTAAACAATGAGAACATTAAAATTAAATACTTTACCATGAATGGGTGGGGAGTGTAGGACACTCTGGGAGAAATTTAAGATCCCAATCTCTAGGACTCCCTGCGGTGGAGCTCTGCACTCATCAGTGTGACAGATCTGCAAGTATGTGTTCAGATATGCTCTTGGAGAGTTAGAAGGGAAATATAATCAGCACAAGAAAGGGATCAACAAGAAATCTTGTACTTTTACATTTTAATATTATCAGAAGGAATTAGGTAAAATATTCTGTTAAGAAAATGAATAGCATCAACATTGTTAGCATTAAGCGTGTATGCAGCTCATTGTTTAT